TTTTTTTTTTTTTCAAGCGAAATTTGGCAATAAAGCCCACGACGACGAGCCGCTGAGTTGGCGGAGTAACTGTGAATCGAATGCGAAAACCAACGGCTCTTCAGCGCAAAAGACGAAATGGCGGAAATTCAGCGAAGCCCCGGAGCCGTTTTCGGGAAGGCGATCAAGGTCGCAGGAAAACCTGAATTTCGGCAAAGGGAGCCCTGGAAAATCGCCGCAGAAAAGTAGCAAAACTTCTTACCGGAGTCCAAGCAAAAGCACGGGACGAGGGTTGGAAGACTTTGCTTCCAGTTTGTTGATGCAATCGCCCTTCAACATTCTTCCAGTGCCTCCGACCTCGGGGTGAATCTCTGTTTCTGTTCTACTACGCATATAAATCAAAAATCCATTTTTTTTAATTTTTAAAGATTGCTCTTTATGAGTACTTCACGCACGTATTTACAAAATTTTTATTCTTCCGCAGATGATAAAGGAGTTAGTCATAAAATATTCAAATGCCCGACCCCAACATTGTCAGGAGGTGACACCTGTAAAAATTCAATAAAATGTAGATGTTACTATATAACCTATTTCTGAATCTTTCCCTTCAAAATTATTTTTAAAAATGCAGTATAGAGAAAAGAGGTAGGGTTTAGTTGGAAATATCAAGCCGGGCTTATATCAGTTCTAAAAAGCATTTCTATTATTTGCTGTTTATTATTTGTTTATTACTCAGTTTTTCCTCATTGTGAAGCGTTCATGATAAATTTTTAATGCATCCCATTCGATTGAAAATTATAATTATAATTCTAATATTTCTCATATTCTTTATTCTTTGGATGCAAATTTCTTATTCGATATATTCTGCCTTTTGTGTGATATGTAACTTCCGGAATGGACGAGGAAAAAGCACAAAAATATTTCCCTCAAAAGTTTCAGCTGATTTACGAACATTTTATGATCGAATCATTTCTACAGTTTTTTTCTAAATTTTAGATCTAAAATTCACTAAAAAAAACTTCTGAGCCATTAAGCAATCAATTTTTTCAGTAGTGAGGGTGAATTATTGGCATCCTTACCGAATATCTTCAATTTTTATATTTTTGAAAATAGAAAAGACCACACGACGGCCGTCACGGACCACCAAAAAGAGGTCTTAGATCTACTTTTTTTATAAAGGCCTCGTATTTTTAACTCTTTTTTCATTGCCTAGAAGAAACCCGTTGTCAAGCACTCAACTATGAGTAATTTGGATCCCATTAAGAAAATAAAACCCAACTTGCCCTGCAGTTTTGTGGCCTCAGGAACTGGTTTGAAACTTCGATCATGCTCGTAAATCTACAGGTTTGCAACATTTTTCGGGTCAGCAGTTTGAGGTTACTGGAAGCGTTTTCTATTAAAAACGAAACTCGGCTTTCACACCAGTAGCGGAAGTTTTTCTCCGGCCGCAAAGTTCTTAAGGTTTTTGTTCCGGAGACTAGTTTTGCGAGGCGTTTCAAAAAGTGATACCAAGGAAGAAGAATCTGAAGCTTCTGCCAGGCTTTCTTCATCAAATAATCCTAGAGGTCGCTCTAATAACTCAGAATATGGAACGGATAGCACAACTTCCTGTTATGGCTCCAGCTGTGCTCTGAGTTACACCGATGAATCCTCCAATACCAAATCCTGGAAAAAAGAATCCAAATCCGGGTAGAAACTGGTCGAATTTCGTTTGCATCCATATTTTTTCACAAGTTTTCTTATGAATAATATTATAGAAAACCATTCGAGCCTCGGGTTATTCACGATCCCAATACGAAGCAATTGTTGCTGAAGGGCCAATTTTTCGCAAGACCTTCAAAGAAGTACCATAATCAGTACCAACGAACTTACAATAACCAGCAAGATCCACCCAAGGCGGGGGCATTCAATAAATGCTCATCAGAAGCTGTTCAAAGCTCTAAATCATGTGCAAACTTTGGACCAGCAGGTGACGACCATCAAAGCAGCGCCACCTATCAGTCACAAATGACTGTCGGACAAATGCAACTTAAGTCTCATCAAAGCAGCACTAAACAATTTGGATTGTACTCAGATTTCCAACAAGAACTGAGTCAGTTCTATGCTGGACAAGATCNATGTGCAAACTTTGGACCAGCAGGTGACGACCATCAAAGCAGCGCCACCTATCAGTCACAAATGACTGTCGGACAAATGCAACTTAAGTCTCATCAAAGCAGCACTAAACAATTTGGATTGTACTCAGATTTCCAGCAAGAACTGAGTCAGTTCTATGCTGGACAAGATCTGGAACAGATGACCTTTGGGGAAAGTGCTGGTGACCAAGTCAGGAGCAATGATGGATCCAGGGAAGTATACTACAGCAGTCAATCAGCTTTGCAATATTCAGGGAACTTTGGAGTTGACTACAGTCTGTTTTCTCAACCTACTCTCATGCAACCTTTTGGCAATCGCTTCAATGGGTCAGTGTAAAGGGTTTCCCAATTTATGAATATTCATGGAATTTTAATCGAGGCGCCATTTTATTTATGAATACGAAAGGTTTTCTGGTGGACCGTTTCCCGGATTTTCTCCTTTCCAGCCTTTTCAACCACCTCCACTGAATACAAACACAGGCTACAATATTTCTACTGCAGACAGAAATCGAAGGTCGAATTTCAGACGAAATCGCGGTAATAAACGTAGGCCGTCGCTTCGATGGTTAACTCACTCTAAGACGGTTTTTTTCGTACAGGTGTAGCATGGAAAGACACAAACTTAAAAAAGCAACGAGCACAGAACAAAACCACTTACTTCAAACTGAATTTTTTCGGTATATTCCTGATCTATTCTTCATATTATCCAGTCCTTATTTGCAGTAGTTCACGTTTTCTCGCGGCAATTCGGTTTTCACGAATTCATCCATTGTGTTAGCGCAATTTTTCTTTTCTTTTTACATCGATGCCAATCTTTCGCATAAAGTGTATATTTTTTTCAAGTAAAACTTCAGGTGTGACAGCCATGAATTTTGTTTTGGTCGTTGGTCTGTTTAAAGAGAAAACAAGGTGCGGTTATGGAGGAAAGAAAACAGTTCCTGAAAAAGGCGTTGGGGTTATTATAACTGGTTGCTGCTCCTGTTTCAGCCCAGTTCATGTGTGGGCGACGATGATCGATGTCTTGAATCCTCTTTGCAACAAGGTTGCCTTGAGTTGCCCCGGAATCGTTCAGGGTCACTTCCATAACTGTGTCGACAAGTTGTTTTTAATGAGATCATGTCAGTGCGACTATTCCGAACACGTCAAAAAAAAAATTAACTTGTGTCGTAAGGTTAAGTTATTTCATGAAAGATTAAAAACGTGACTACTCTCCACGAGGTCTTCTTTTTTATTAATATTGTCGAATCACTCAGACAGGATGAAATTTGCAGAGCTGAAAGGAAACATCATTGATGCCGTGTCTTCAATTCCTTGCAAAATATACTGCTGAACGTCTTCAACTTTAATTTAAAGAGACTCCAGTTCAAAGTTTTCTTAACATGCTTCTGATGAATTGAGAATTTGGCTTCATTTGGTTTGGTTAATAATGGAAATTATTTTTTGATCAGGTTACTATAGAAGGGGTTGATATTCTTGGATGGTTAACCAGCAGGAAAATGTCAAATCATTTTTATAGAAAGAATGAAAAAGAGCATTTTTACAAGGCTTTTTCTTGAGTTATTTTTTTCTTGGATAGGTCTTCTAAAATTTTGCATGCAATTAAATATAAAAAAAGATGTACTAAATTTTAACTCATGGAAATTTGACCAAGAGCATTATGAGTTTGGAAGTGTTAAATTGTTTCACTGGACTTGAAGAATTAACCTGGAATTCAAATTAAAGTGGAACCTCGACTCCTTGAGATCAAAATTTAATTTCTTCAAGAGTTTCCCAGCAATGTCAAAATTTCCACATGTAAATAAGTCACATATTTCCTTTGACTGACAAAAAGTTTTTCATCTGTTTTTTCTGAAGAATTATTCAAAATTCCATGAAAAAATTGTCAATGACAAAGGATTCAATTTATGCATTTCAATTCAAAAACGATATTCAACTTGGAAAGGTGCAACTGAATTTACATGATGTGTTCAATTGGACAGAGCTCACTTTCCTTGCAGTCAGCTGAGGAAATACCAGGCATTTTGAAGAGTTTGAGAGGAACCCCCCCCCCCCCCCCCTCTAATCAACTCTCACCATCAGGAAAACATTGAATTGTTTGGATTTTTTGAGGGTACACACAGACAGAAAAAAAAAGTGGAGGGGATCAGGCAAACAGGTGGTGCTGGTGATGCTTCCCATGCTGAAAGTGAAGTGAAGTGAAGGGAAGAGGAATTGAACCAGGACATACATATACTGTATTTTTTTCATTTTTTTTTTACCTGCGCAAGTTGTCATCGTCGGCGTCAGGCGTGGTCCCTCTCAACTCATGTATACGTATATTGTGAATTCCTGCCCCCGGTTGCGCGCAAGTGCCGGGCTCGTTAACTACGTCAATTATCGTCTATTCTCTCTCTTTTCGCTCTGCCTTCGTCATCCCATTATAATTCCCTTTTTCCTCCCCGCATCACATTGTGTCTATCTGCTATATACTGTATATCATACATCGCCTCTTTTCTCCTTCCTCTATCTTTCTGTATACATTTTCCTCATTTTCGAATCGATCCGTTGCGGCAAAATACTCGACCCGCGTGGCGTAGTTTTTGCTCGGACACCTGGTCTGTGTACAGAGCAGTACACAGTCGGTGCTCATGTGTGTGGCTGGTGCTTGGTGGTTGATTTGGGAAATGTGTGTGTGTGTGTGTGTGGTGGTGGTATTTGAAAAAAGTTTACCCTGGGTTTACGTGGGAAACATTTTGTTGTTGTTTTTCTTGTGCGAATTTCAAGTTACCGTATTTTGAAGGGAATGAACCGCAAAATTCAAAGCGATCTGGTGGCGCAATGGTGGACTTGGTGGAGTGAGTTCAAGTTGTGTTACGTTTTTGGTGGAGGCATCTGAAGTTGAATAATCTTCTTGTCTGGCCACGTCAGTAATTGTGGCTATAGGTTGCATTAGAAGTTTTGTGTCTTAGTTAGTGTGGGTTAAGGTAAAAAAAAAAGTGTTTATTTTCTTCTGAGAAGTACTGCATCTACTCCAGTGCCATATGCACCGTTTTTTTCAAAATAGAGAGGACAAAATTGGGTCCGTGTCATGAGAGGGGATACAATTTTTTTTATGTTGGAAGTTAGGTGTCCATCACACTTGAATATGATTATACATTTTTGTCAGGACCTTTCTTAGAATAAAAAAAAAAATTGAGAATTGGTTGAATTCAGGTCTGAATGTATACACTTCAAACTGAACTCAAAGATGATTTCAGATTGCAGTCATGTGCAGATTTGGATTCTTGCGATTTTACTATTTTTGAAACATTGCAGTTATCAGTTTCTTTAGCAGGGGTTTACATCTTACTTGGATATAAGATTTTATCAACACCTTAGGGTGGAAATTGGGTTCCATGTTCCACTCAAGGAGATGTGGTACTTTTTTAGAGAATACATTTCTTAAATAAATTTTTGAATGCTTTTCTTTTTTTTAAGTGCTCCCCATATTTTTTTGCATCACATGAAAAGATCATTGCTGAATCTTGCAATAACTTTCTGGCTTTTATAAACTTTCAATTCTTGAAAAAATATAAAATGCAAAAATCTTCATGGGCAATGACAACCAAGTGTTACCATCAATACACAGTGTGTACTCTTGGTATTTGTGCTGGACGTGAAGTTTTTATTCAAGGATTGGCATAAAATGTCACGAGGTGAACAAGGACCATTTTGCCACATGGATTGTAGATAATATTGTATGATAATTAACAGATTGAGAGAAAATATCGTCATGTATTGGTATTGAATTACTTTCCCAAATTTAAATGGTCTGGATGCCCAACGAATTTTGAAATTTCCTGATCGAGTTCACAGCTTTGTATTCCTCCAATATAAAGATACAAAGCATGCATTCAAAGTGTGTTGACAGGACTTATTGGTACAGCTCTGAACTCAACTTGAGTCATGCAGTGATGCAAAGAAAATAGGTTTCCCAGGGTTCGGAAACCCCTGTTGAATTATGTCCCAATTCCTGAAAAAGGTCACGTTCGAGCGTATTGTATAACTACTGTATGCTCATAAGACTTGCATATTAGAGCGTGAGTTGCATTATTGAACAGCTCCTGGAGGCGAAAAAGAACACATTATCATGATATTACTGAAATGTGTGGCACAAATTATGTCACGCAAACTTAACCTCGATTCACTCCAAGATCTTGACACTTTTACGACTTCACTTTACGACTTGAGAATGAAAATCAGCAAGGTTAATGTCCAATTTTAAGCAGATGCTTGCGCAACTATACTCTATTTTTTTTTCTCGGTATCGTATAAGCAGCTTGTCAATATCAGTTGGAACTACCTCGTTATAGAAATTTAAAAAAGGAAGTACCTGCCAGTCTAGAAATCTTTATGCGACAATACCTCGATGATTTTAAGAGGAGAACATCAACTTATTAATGATCCGATGATACGATTGCATCGTCGTTTTCGGCCTTGCGTATTGCGTTACTTGCCAGTGGTGCCGATTGCAAAACCGTGAGAAGAAGCCACCTTAATCTCGGGATGTCTCAATTTCTTTTGTTCGCTGGGCTGGATTATCGTAGCACAGCAGTAAAAAAAGTACGTCATAACTTGACGAGTTTTGCATTTCAGAGTCAGGACACGCATTTACGAGTAAAGTATTTTCACATCTACTGTTTTGGTTCGAAATCTCCCACTTTTAACAGTGCCATTATAATTGAAGTACCTTTTCATTATGCTCTCGATTTTTTTTAAAGCACCTTTCCTTCTTTGTTCAGGCATTGCAGAAAAAATTGCAAATGTAGAAAATCTCGGAAACTTCAGAACAATAATAGAAAGCACGTAACAATCGTCGCAATTTTTTTGGCGGATCGATTTTAACAGCTCATCACGATTTTTTTCGGCCTGAACAACACGTTTGTGTAATTATTTTTGAATTGATGACAGTTTGATGGAAGACCAGTGCACATCATCAATGGACAAAATTGCGCAAGATTGACTGAAGTTCGCGGATGAAAAACTGGGCCGATTTACTTTTACTGGATGAGGTTTTATAGGTCCATTTGAGTTACTGTAATTCTTCCATGCCCTTTTATTTCATTTATGAGGACAGCTCGTTCTAGAATATACTTTACTGTAATATTTTGTGTCTTGAAGTCTCGGAATAGATCCTTATCCTTGAGAGGATTGCGAAGCCTGACGTTTTGTTGATCGAATCTCATCACTCTTATGTTTCTGTGAAGCAAGAAGTTGTTTCCACAAGTCTAAATGGTTACCCTAGGTTTTTTTTCAGAGTTGTTTGAAAAGACTGAAGCTGGGTTGATGTTGATTGAGAATAAAGAGCCTGCTGTGAAGTTACTCCACAGATATTAATTNAGCAAGAAGTTGTTTCCACAAGTCTAAATGGTTACCCTAGGTTTTTTTTCAGAGTTGTTTGAAAAGACTGAAGCTGGGTTGATGTTGATTGAGAATAAAGAGCCTGCTGTGAAGTTACTCCACAGATATTAATTCGGTTCGATGGTAGCCCTGACATGCGGACGCCTGACATACCAACGATTCGACTTGGGGACACTTGATGGTTCAAAAATTCTGCCCCGACATCCTGGCAATGTTTTGAGGCACGGACTCAGACAAATTTAAAAGTTTTTGCACAATTTTGATGTCTCTTGAGCTATAACTATAAGCTTTTCATGCGCACAAAACTTACATTTTTAAACTAACTGCTCGAAGTCCAAAAAAAGGTTAATTTTGCCGGTATTTTTTTCCAGAACTCTTTCCGTCATCTAAGCTAAGAATATAGGTAGACTTGTACTTGCTCTTTGCTTTTGCAATCGTGCCAAAAGATCAGATTACGCGTGATTTTCTTTTGCTCAGTTATTTTCTGTGCCTTGACTTACAAGTTGACTTTGAGAAAAATCATTTTATTCAGTTGTGGGACGGGGAATTCTTTCCTAATTTTTCGATGAACGGAATTAAGAACCAATTAAATATATTCCCATTGAAGTCTAAGGGAAAACCTCATCCACCATGCCCTTTACCCTTTCGTGGTCAGTTCAGTTGTAGAACCCCGGAAGAACATAATATAACAATAATTGTAGCCCCAAAAACCCTAACCCAACGACACACGACTTCTTTCGATCTCCGTTTCAGACCACATACCCTCGGCATCATTCATGGAGTTAGCCCCAGGAAATATTGCCTTTTATTTTTTATTTTTTTGTGAGTAACCCACCTCCGCGTTTCTTCTGTGTTTTTGATTCCTTATTGCGGACGTGGCAGCAGCCCAGAAAAGGAGGAATGTGAGCCAGATATCCTCCCACGCTCATATACAGAACCGATCCCGAAAATTTACTCACCCCACTCCCTTTTTCCTGTGATAATTTCTGGCTCCTTGGGTATACTGTGATTAAGGGGAACGTGGAAGCTTTCTTTTAGTACATACAAAATATTGTAGAGCAGTTGAATCTTGGTTCAAGGAAGCCATTGGGACTTCAGGAATGTAGTTTCTTTTTAAATCAAAAAGACAATACAGTATTACAAATTAAAATACTGCACAGTACTGTATTTCTTTGAGTACCAATTGCACAATTTTGTTATGAAAATTGAGAGGGAAAAAAAATTTCAGCTTCTTAAGTGCTGGGGACACACTTTAAAAAGTTAGAAGTTTATGTGTACATAAAGTAACACTTTTGTCAGGAAATTTGTACAAATCAAAACAATTGAAAGTTATTTGAAATCAGATTGCATTCATGCTCAAATTTGGATTCTGGGGTCTTTAAAAACTTTCTAAGGTCAAAAAATCAGTTATTTTTAAATCACTCAATATAACTATGACATAAAATTTCACCTTAACTATGTCATATGTTCCTCACGGGGTTTTAAACTGGGATTAGGTAACGACCTTTATTAGGGTTGAATTGTGAAGTGAGCAAATTGCAAGACAATGTCAAACTTGATGTTTTACACATCAAATTTGATGTTTTGGGTCCCTCTGCTGATCAGATGTTGACGTGGAAGTTGACATCCCAGAAAATTTAACCATCAAATTGCGGGATGGTCAAATTGTGGGAAATTGAATTACAAGGTACCACATGTATCCATAACAATGCATGAAGTATGAGTTTCTGCAACAATCAACGCTTTCTTTGGTTGCTGTTGGTTTTAATTTCTTTGTTAAATAATCACATATCGCGTCAATTTTATTAGTGATCCTATCCAGAAGCTTTTTATTCATTTTTTAAAAAGATTTATCGATCCCTTAGTTGGTTCCGCAGAGAAATTAGCGACCTCTATCCCACCAAAATGTGTTCCCTTCATGTTTTCGTGGTGATTTATTTATTTGTTTCAAATTCCCAATCAAGCTCTTCTTTTTACAGTATAAAATGCAGCGAAGAATGATTACTCGGATTGAAATCCACCCAATTATTTTCTACGAAGCCATTTGACATGAAATAGAACTCGATGACCATCTGTTGAGTACTTCTTGGATTATTTTTATTGTCGGAAAGTATTCTTGATATGCATCTTCGGAGATCCTTGGAGGAACTTTTACTTCAAAAATACGTTTTGTTATTATTCGCTTGATCAGAGTTTTAAGTTCAGAGTTTATATATGTTTTTTAAGAAAACACACACTATATGTACAACCACACAATATTCGTAAACATGAGCGAGAGAAAATGAATTCGCGGCCAAAATTCTAATCGCATCAGGCAGTAATTATCCCCCTTTTGTACGGGACGTTGTGATTTTATTCTTCCTCAGCGAAAAATGACTCCACCTTGGTCATTAAACGTCTGCGTTCCGGAGAAAAGATAGAAAATTGCAGGGCTCGGTTTTGACGGATGCGTGCACCTTTTCTGTTCGTGGACAGGAATTATTTCTGGAAATGAACGCGGAAAAGAAATATTCGAATAAAAACGCATTCTGGGACCTAGAATAATGGAATGTAAAAGGTCCTTCATTCATTCAAGTCCATTCCAAACACGAGGCTGGGTACAGGAATTATTTCTGGAAATGAACGCGGAAAAGAAATATTCGAATAAAAACGCATTCTGGGACCTAGAATAATGGAATGTAAAAGGCCCTTCATTCATTCAAGTCCATTCCAAACACGAGGCTGGGTCATAAAGCAGGGATTGTCTGTATGGTAACGTTTCTACTTTCGATGTTGGGGACTGCTTTCTGAAACTTGAAGGTCCATTAACTTGAGATTCATTTTGTACAGAGCTGATGTTACATGCCATCTATTTAATCGTATACTTCGGATAGGGAAACTGTTTTCTCTTTCTGATACTCTACTGTTCTATACTTGGGAGACCAAATGATCATTTGTTTTCATTTTTTTTAGAGGACATTCTTCCTTAGCTTATTATGAATAAACAGGTCTGTTGTGAACACAGAAGGAGTCATTGTTTGCTGATCATAATTTTAAATGGATTTGTTGAAGATGTGACCCACCTTTGGCCTGGCTCCAGTACAACTCACTGTCACCGATCACTATGATGTATTTACTTGAGTGCCAGATGCACCTTTTTTTAAATCAAAATTTAGAGGAAAAAAGGGTGTGTGATATAGATGGTTATACATTTCTAAAAGCTTTAGAATATGTTCATGTGCTATTACATTATTCCAATAAGGAAGTTTGAACCATTTCAATGAAAAAACTCGATTAAAATCAAAATAATATAATATTAGTTGGGTTCAGGATCAAATAATGTCTAAATAAACTTTAGGGTTTTATTATTTTCAGAACCTTGCAGTTTTAGAGACACTAAAAATGGGTTGTGCATCTTACTTGGAGGTGGTACAGTATTCCACAAAAATATAAATAACTGGGAAAGCCTGGTATTTGTCTTATTTGAGTGACTGTGGTACTCAATTAAATACAGTCAACCCCTGTCTAACTGACTTGATTTGTGCAAGGGACAAGTCTGTTAGACAAAAAGTCATTTACACGAATTCAATTACATAAAAAATTAAAAATTTCAATTTTCAACACTAATCTTAAACCAAAAGAAGTCTGTTTGGTGGATTTTGTCTGTTGGGCAGGAGAAAAAACTGCTTGCAGAGCTGGTCTGTTTGGCAAAAATCCCTTACACAGGAGGTCTGTTAGGCAGGGGGCCACTGTATTTAATCATTACTTCCTCAATATAAATCAGATGACAGGCAATAAAAGCCTGTGTCAATTTCTCAACAGACATGATCACAGAGCTCAGGAGTCCACAACAAAGATCCAGGTATATACACTCAATTTGTTCCCCATTATATTCAACAGATAATAAATAAATCTTTTCCATCACATCAAACAGTCGCCCAAATTCACGTACAGTAAAGTATACTGCATAAAATATAAAAAATAAATAAACACGGGGGACGAGAGAAAACAAGATTGGCTTCACGCATATAACGTATCTATAAACCTCTGAAATTACATTAATGTGTAGTGTGTATTATATGCGTGTGGGGGCCCATGTGTCACTCGTCGTCCCTGTGGCAATTGACTGCATTCCTGAAAGCCACAAGAGATTTTCCGTGTTCTTGTTGTTGTTGTTTTCGGTGTTGCCGCCTTTGGGGCATTTTATGCGGCCATGATTTGTCACACAAGCGAGAGGAATGCCGTGTGCTCCAAATTCCTGTCATTTCTCTCTCTCTCTCTCATCGCATGTTCGGGAATGTGTCTCATTGTCATTCCGATTGTTGTTGAAAGACACGCATTTTAACCCCCCCCCCACCTTGTAATGCGTGAATAAGCTGACGATATGTCGAATAATCATCACGTCTTCTTCCCCCACCGACTTTTGAATGGATTCATAAAGACCATTAAGCCCTGGGGAAGAAAGACACTTCTTTCATTTCTAAAGTTGAAAAAAAGATTATATTTTCTTTATCTTCTATGTTCTTTGATGATTAACCCCTTGGGCTGCAAAATTTTGTGCCATAAGGAGTAAAAAAATTATTAGGATTGCCAAAGTTGGGGGAAAATGTCAAATTTATTTACCATTTCTGCTCCAGAAACTTTATTAAAAAATAAAAAAAGTTGCTGTTGGGTGGAACTTTATCTGCATTCCTGCCATAGGATTAGCATTCAGTGATTTTCAGAACAAATATGCTTTCCCTTTCCCAGATTTTTGCCAACTTTTGCTACTCAGCCAAAGCAGCAACTTTGTGACCTCAATGATGTGACCTTGACCTTGGTCAAACCAAAATGCAGAAGCACGCAAAAAAAATCCTGGCACTGCCATATAATGGAAAATGGCTGCCATCACCCAACGGTTAAATTTATGAGGATTTTTCTTTCAAAAATAAATTACAGAATTATTAATTAATAGAGAACAGCAGCTTAGGGGAATAATTTGCCTGAAAACATTTTCCTGGGAATTTTCCATTCAAATGGTTCTTATTGTGACCACACCTGTGGCACTTGGGACCATCAAACTATACAACCCATTCAAAAAGGGAATTGAACAAGGTTTCATTTTGAACTTTTTCATCAATTGCCACAGCTTGATTTACTACTGCTAAAAATCTGTTCATTTTTTCTGACTGACCCTGTACACACCTCCAAAGAGATTTCTACAGCAGCAGTATTTGTTGTTGAAAGAAAAATTACTTCATTCAAATTAACCAAATTGAGAAATATCATTTGATCAACATTTTGGGGGACTTTTTCCTAATTTTTGATCGATAAAAGGAGAACCAATGAAATATATTCCCATTGCATTTCAAGGAAAAAAAAACGTAATCCGGCATGGGGACAAAGCCCAAGCACAAGTATGTCCGCATCTCGGGGCCTCATATATGGTTATCCCTCAAAATTACCAAACAAATTTCGCGGTAAAACATTCTTCAAAGTCTTTGCATTTTCATCTCCTTTAATTCTGGCACTGCGAAATCAAAATTCCTTTAAAAAAAACTCATTTTTCCAGTAGGCTAAAAAATTTGAAGAAAATTGTTTAGCCTGAGATTTAAAAAAAAAGTTGAAACATTCATGGACAGAAATGCTCCTGCAAAATCTATCACCTGCTCGATATATATAATTTGAATCCACATACCTTCATTATTGTCCTACTGAGCCTCAGAATTTGTATGAACCTTTTTTCTTTTTTTTTTAAAAAAAAAGGAAACTTTATTTTGAAAATGGAAAATAATGAAGAACATTTGCCCAGGATTCTCTTTGTCTCCCAGCCTCCTGGGCACGTTCCAGGGAGTGATGTGTTGATTTATCCCCCCCCCCCCGCCTTCTCTGCAAATGTGTGCTCAAGTGACACGCTTGTGTTCTCAGCATTTCCTATACGGAGTCTTACTTTACCAAAAGACCGGCATTTGACTAAAGACAATATTCCGATGAGGGGGGAAGAAAAAAAGGAAATGTCGTTGAGTGACTTCGCCCCTTCCGTTCAGCCGAAAAAAGGGCGGCTTTCGGAACTCACTCAGTCACTGCGTTTTCTTTTCCGCCCTCTGAAAGACACTTGCAAACATTTCAGGCGGCTTCTTTTGAGGCATCATCAGTAGCTGCTCAGGGCTCACTTTTTCCCTTGCTGTGTGTGTCTTGCATAATGTGGTTGGAAAAATAATGAGGAAAAGAAAAAAAGAAAACCTGCAACCTCAGCTTCCATGCTCATGAAACAAGGGCGGAAAAAAAAAATTCAAATTCAGTGGGACAAAGGGAAATCAGCAGTATACCCGAGGGTTGTCCCATTGGAACGCGACCTCTGACATTTTCAGGGTAGATGTGATTGTAAAAAGTTGAATCTTGGCATAGCCAGCACAAGAAGATTCTATAAGGCTAAGAGAATTAAAAAAAAAAATTTGTATCAGTTTCTAAATTTACTATGTGTTGATAAGTCAAAACTTTCCAATTAAAGACATAATTCTCCTACCATTTTAAAATTGGTGGTTATGTCAAAAGTGCCATTTTCTGTTTAATGTTCTATACAAATTATTCCAAGCCATCTGAAAATTGAAACATTTTGTACAATCCATTACCTTTTCTTCATTTCAGATAAATAATGGCTGATGAAAGAAAACAAAATCTATTTTCAACCTAACCTGAAAAATTTAAAGTTTTCACTTCTCATATTATCTGCAGTAAATTGAAAAAACTTTTGAAAAAAATCTGAAAAAATTCCCAGAACCTTTCAGAACATGGTGGGCTCAGTGATGATTCTTTTTTACACTCACACCCAACCTGAAAATATCAGAGGTCGCGTCCAACTGGGACAACCCTTGTATGTACCCAGCAGGACAACTGATGAGGGTGACATTTTCTCTGTCAAATTGAAAAGAAAAAGGGCATGATGTGGAAGACGAGGAAATTGTATTGCAAGTATAGTGAACATGGTTTTTGCCCTGGAGCAGAAAAGCAGCAGGAGTTTGAAACAAATGAGCTCGCTTGATGAACCAGGGGCCCTCCTTGGGTGCTGAATGGGAAACAATCAGCACCCTGCATGAATCTCACTGCAGGCTACTTTTCCTACCCAGATTCTCATTCATGGGTTCTTCATAAAAGATTCAATGCAGTGTTTTCCCAGGAAGCAGAAAAAGGTGTCCCATCTATACAGTAAAATCTTGATATTACAACTGATATGGATTTTTTTATGTGTTATACAGGTACTAATAAGGTAGAATCGCTCTGCAACCATTCTAATTGTTTTTTTTTTTGGTGCCATATGGTTCTACCCACGTTATAAAATTCCCTAAAACAGTAACAGTCTCTTTAAAATACATTTTTTGGTCACTTGAATTTTGTTGTTCAAGAGAATCCACCAGTACCAGAATTCAAGTACTGTAATATTTGGGCTATACTGAAAGGATCTCAGAATATACATTTTTTCAAAGAATAATTAAAAAAATTATCAGAGAATACAGTACAGAAATTGTTTGTATTTTTTCAAATCTTCCAATTGTTCAAATGTTTTGCCTTGAAAATCCCACATCAAGATAAAAACCCTTGTTTCACTAAAATATCCTGTTACAAACAATTCAAATCAGAAAAATGAGTAAAACAAATGAACATTCTTGGAAATGCAGCCCTTTTGACCAAATGTTGCAGGCTCTGTTTGAAATTAACTTTCCACAAACTACAGTCAACCAATGTCTAACATGTACCTCCTGGCTAACATATTTTTGTCTGACAGACTGCCTTCAGGGGCAGATTTTAGTCCAATCTAATATATAGAATCTGTCTAAAATACTAACATCTAAATCTAACATGCTTGCATCCAAATCTAACAAACTAACATCTAAATGTAACATACTAACATATAAATAAAATGTATGCTGATAAGTTGAATATCTAAAATACAAATTTGTCTAACATACTGTTCATCTTATATACTTACAATTGCACAAATTAAGTACTGTACGTTGGACAGCAGCTGACTGAATTTCAGAAAATTCAGAAATTTGGTCACCTTGTGAAGAAAAACCTCAAAGGATAGCAATATGATTTTTCTACTGAAATTTCTTCAGTTAGTAAGAAATTTTCTTATCCTCAATGCAAAA